GAAAGCCAAGAGGTTAGCGTAAGGACAGCGTGTGTGTGTGTGTGTGTGGGGGGGGGGCAGGGTTGGTAGCAGGTGGGGACTGGCCCCAATTTCAACCCTAACTTCCTAAGATAAAAATAAATGTTCACAGCTGTCCAAGTGCATGAAATCCACTGAGCTAATTACGATGTGTGCCCCTGGCTCCCACTGTTCTGCAACAGTTAAATACGGAGTTTTTATTAAGACAAGGAAGAAAAATCAGGAGTGGTTCCTTTCTCCCAGAGACTCATGTGAGTGTCCAAGTATCCTCATGCACCACAAAGCTCTAGGTCTGTGACGGGGGCCTGGGAAGCTGCCCAATGGGACCCCCTCCCCACTTTCTCTCTTGCACCTGTGCTGGGTGGGAGATGCCCTCATGGGGTGCCCAGTCCCAGCTAAGATCTCACTGGAGGTGGTGGAGGCAGGCGAGGCCCCTTTCCGAGACGCGGGGGCAACCAGCCAGGGAGAGCTCCTGCAGCGAGCCGGCCAGCCGGTAGACCAGTCGTCCACATGGGGGCAACACCGCAGCCACAGGGTCTGGAGCTGCCCTAAGGGCACTGCAGCAGGAAAGGGGGGACAGCACTCAGGGCCTTTCTGGAGGCCATTGCCACAGGGGAGGTGGAGGGCGTCCCTATCTCCTCCCCACCCCACTGTGCCTACTCACAGAGGTTGTCCAGGCCCTGGTAGTTGATGGCACAGCCGCTAGCATCTATGGCCTCTACGGGCACCTCCTGGAACTTGAAGAACTCACGAGAGAAATGGCCCTTCCTATTTGGCCTGATCCACTCCTTGTCCTGAAACCTGGAAAAGAGAGCAAGGCAGAAAGCAGGGCAGGCACCCCAACCCTCTTTCAGGCGTTCGGCCTCCTGAGAGCTCTCCCAGGCCCTGTTTACTAGAACCATGGCTGGTGTACTTCCTGTATGCCCACCAAGCCATGGACGAAGGTTTTGTAAGTAGGGGCTCGCTGAATCCTCAGACACTCCATCAAAGAGGGAATATCTTGCTGATTTTACATTCTGGAGACTAACCGTCGGAGTGAGTACTCATGAGGGAAGAGCTGCAGTGAAAGACTCCTTGTAGGTGGGCAAAGTTAGAGGCATTTTCAAACATGTTCACAGTTTCTAAGGAAGTTGCTGAAGAAAGCGCTCAAACCAGATGTAAGATTGATCGTACAGGATGAGGGAGAGGTGAAATCTACATGCATGGTGTTTTTCTAAAAAGAAAAAAGGGGGGGGGAGAAGAGAAGAAAAGGAAGGAAAAAGAAGGAAACAAATAAAACTAAAACTAACCCCCATGAGCTCCTGTGCTATGCTGAACCCCGGGGGGGAAAAGTGAAATTCCATTTGGTCTTTACAGTAAACCTTGTAGGTCAGATACAGTAACTATTCCATCTTCCAGATGACAAAACGGAAACTCAGGAACAAGTCTCAAGCCACACAGCTACAGCCAGCAGGTGGCAGAGACCAGGAGACTGGCAGTGCTGACTGCCAAGTCTGGATGTGAGACACTCCTCCTCCTCCTCCCCACCCGTCCCAAAGGCTCTGCTGTCATACTTGACTGCGCCTCCCTGCTTCAGGACGAAAAAGGCACCTGCGATGTCTGGGCCGTACTGCTGCTTGATGTCGGTGAAGGATCTGCCAGGAAAACAGAGCTGAGGGTGAGGTCTGGGGAGCACCACACCCCACCGTGCCCCCACACTGCTTGAAAGGGTCAGAGTCCAGACCAGACACAGACTGGTCAGGCTGACATTTGAATGCTTATGCAGTGGCACTGTGGTGACCAAGGCACAGAGCCAGTCCTGCCCTCATCAGTCTATTACATGGGGAGGCAGATAAACCAGGAAATACCAGTCAATTGCAGATAGTATCAATCCCATGATAAAAATAAATCCTGGGAGGGGCTGACTGGAAGTGGCACGGGTCAGGTGGAGGAAGCATGAGGAAGGTGGAGGCTAAATGAATACGGCTATTAAGAATTGCTTCCTGGAAGAGGTAACATTTGAGCAGACTCACTCCCAGAAGGAATGTGAAGGTTAAGGCAAGAGCCCACCGGGCCAAAGGAAGAATGCAGACTCAGACACTCAGATTAAGGTGGCTGGATTGGTGGGGGCAAGCGAAGTCCAAGCTGGGGTCCAAAGCTCAGCGGGAGCCAGGTTTTAGGCAGGGTGGTGATGTTATGTTATGTACTTTACTTTCTTAACAGGCCTCTGGCTGCTTTATGGACTAGAATAGAGAAGAAGGGGTGAGAGGAGACTAGTTAACTGCAGTAATCCCACCATCAAGTGAAGGAGCTTGGCACAGCCCTGATCCAATCTGAGATTGTTATAGTCTAATCAGCGTGAAATAAGAGGACATCTAGACATAGCCAAATTTACTGGAGTTTATTGATTAAGCCAGCGGCATACGGGGGGACTCAGGTCTCTCAAAACCTGCAGCCCCAAGTGTAAGATGAGGGGTGCATATAAAGGCAAAAATCACTCTTTTCTGGGTTGACCTGGCAATCACAAGGGCAAAGAGCAGTGGGCTTGAAAGGGTGAGGGGTAGGTTTTATAGTATAAAAGCAAAAATGAATGATAGACGCAGAATAAGCAGGTTAATTGTCCCTAAGGGTGTTCCATCCCTACCTAAACACAATGCAATCTTTTATTTTTTTGGAGAGGTTTTTGCTATAGGACATGTGCACTTGCCAGAAAGACAGAGACAGAGAGACAGAAAGCGAGAAATCACCCCCCAGGGAGGATGGCCACACAGCAATCCCTTCTCCTCCATTCTCCTCTCGGGATCTTGGACATACATGCACACGTGCCCGGCGTGAGTTTAAGCCGCTGGGTCCAGGACTCGAACTGCGGTCAACTACATGGGAGTCCAGTGACATAGCCATTATGCCAACTGCTGGTCCCAACACAATGGAATCTTAATGATCTTCATGGTTCAGGACAAGGGGTCTGGCACCTGATGATTACATCACTAAGGAACATCTCAGGGTAGGCAGTTTCGGGTTATGTTTTTTTTATTATTTTTAAATTTTTTTTGGAGAGTTTTTTTTTTTTTTTTTAAATTTTTTTATTGCTATAGGGCGCATGCGCTCGCCAGAAAGAGAGAGACATAGAGACAGAAAGCGAGAAATCACCCCCCAGGGGGGATGGTCACGCCGCAATCCCTTCTCCTCCATTCTCCTCTCAGGATCTTGGGCACGCACGCACACGTGCCCGGCGTGAGTTTTAAGCCACCAGGTCCAGGACACGAACCGCGGTTGACTACGTGGGAGTCCAGCGACATTGCCATTACTCTAACTGCTGGTTCCCAGTTTCAGGTTATTTAGCAAAGGCTGTAGGAGTGTTAATCACTCTGTTTACTCTAGGCAAAAGGAGAAAGCAAGTTTCCAATATAGAGAGGAGTTCAAGATGGAGGTCTGCTTTAAGATCTTCTAGGATTTTAGTGATGGACCAAATGTGGAAGATGGAGAAGCAAAAAGAATCAGGGATAATGCCTTAACTTTGGCCTCAACAACTGGGTGACAGTGGTAACACTTCCTGGGATGGAGCAGGCTCGGTGGTAGACAGATACTAGGTTGTTGGAGAAGTAATGACCTGTTTTTCTATACAAAAACGTGTCATGGGACTACCAGTTAGCGTAATGGCTATGTCGCTGGACTCCCACATAGTCGACCACGCGGTTCGTGTCCCGGACTGGTGGCTTAAACTCACGCAGGGCGCATGTACATGTGCGCCCAAGATCCCAGGAGGAGAATGGAGGAGAAGGGATTGCGGTGTGGCCATCCTCCCTGGGGGGTGATTTCTCGCTTTCTGTCTCTCTGTCTCTCTCTGTCTGTCTGGCGAGCGTACGCGCCCTATAACAACAACAACAACAAAAAGTGTCATGACTTTCTCTATGATCCAATATTTTTTGGGGAAAAAGGGTTTAGTTTTCACCACGTTAGGTTTGAGAGGTCAGTTAAGCCTCTAACTGGAGCTGGTGAGTTCTGAGCTGGAGTCTTTGAGAAAGGCTTGGGCTAGACAGGAAAATGCAAGTGCTGGCAAAGCTGGCATTGGCAACCTGCTGCCTGCGAGTGGCAAGGGCAGGATCTAGGCTCTAACTGGTGAGGCCTAAGCAGCAGAGTCTCCCCAGGGTCTTTTTATTTTAATTTTCTTTTAGTTTTTTTCTATAGGCACATGTACTTGCTGGAGAAAGAGAGAGCAAGAGAGTTAGAAGTACCCCTAGCAGGGTGGTGGTGGGGGGCTGGCCATGCCAAAGTCCCTTCTCCTTACTCTCTCGAGATTTGGGGCATGCATATGTACCTGGTGCATTTTTCAAGGCACCGAGTCTGGATCTTGAACTGTGCGGTCAGCCATGCAGGATCCAAACACCTTAACCACCATGCCACCTGCTGGTGCGCCACAGGGCCCTGCAGGCCACAGGTTCTCACCGATTTTTTTGCTGCACCTTCAACATCTCCCTTCGGAGCAAGTAAGACCTCAGAGCCTCCACGTCATAGAAGTAGTTAGTCAGGAACTGGAGTAGAGTCCTCTTTTTCCTCTGAGTGCCCTCTGGGACCGCTGTTCCACTTAAGCCATGGATGCCTCTGCCACTCCTACTCCACACTGAGGCCACCAAGTGCAGGGACTAGAGATGGGGAGAGGAAAAAGGAGGCTGAGTATGGAGCCCCCTGCGATGGATGCCCCCAGTTCTTGCTCCGGCCCTCACCTCCACTGCTCCCCAGCCCTTGTCATGTTTGACACCTTTCATGTTCTGTCTTTGGGATCCCCAAAATTTCTCCATGTTTTCCACAAGTCCTTCCTCTTAATTAACCTAAATTATCACTTTGATTTAGTCAAATTTTCTTGGCTCTCTTGAATTCTTACCCAAATTTTCCCTCAATACCCCCTCTAACTGCCCCCTCAAAACATCCATTATCTGACTTTTAAATTCTCCACAAATTCATCCCTTAATTTTACCCAACTATCCCTGGACCCTCTCTAAATGACTCTTGTCTTGCCCCAAAATAGAATCTTTTAAAAACAAACTTTACTAGGACCAGCAGGTGGCGTGGTGGTTAAGGTGCTGGACATTCCTACATGGCTGACCAGGATTTAAGTCCAGTACCTGGTGGCTTGCTTTCTCACCTTCTCTCTCTCTCTGTATCTCTCTCTGGTCCAAATAAAATAAGTAGATGAATAAATAAATTAAAAAAAAAATTCTAAAAAACCCAAAAAACAACAACAAAAAAACCCAAACTTTACTTCCTCTAAGATAATAGGGGAGGGAAGAGGCATTCCCAATAGTCTTCAGCCATTATCCACCCCTACCTTCAGCTAGCCCAGATCACCTGCATACACTGGGAGGTCCCTGGATATAATCTCAAGACTCTTCCCATATGGATCCAGCTACACTACTGCTGTACCACCTCATCTGCACCCACAAAATATACTCTCTCCAACCTACCCTTAGTTACTATGGAGAGGGTACCCTTGAGTCATTACTAAACCAAAAAGGATCAAAAATGCATGTGCCTTTAAGACAGGGCTGAAAAATGAAGGGGGCAGTCCCCAGGGAAGCAGCTTGACTCTATTCTATTTCTCTTCTAAGTACCTTTTTAAAATTTTTTTTTAGCCAGACCAGCAGTTAGCGTAATGGCTATGTTACTGGACTCCCACCTAGTCGACCGCGGTTCATGTCCTGGACCTGCTGACTTAAACTCACGCCAGGTGCGTGTGCATGCGTGCCCAAGATCCCGAAAGGAGAATGGAGGAGAAGGGATTGCGGCGTGGCCATCCCCCCGGGGGGCGATTTCTTGCTTTCTGTCTGTCTCTGTCTGTCTGGTGAGTGCACGTGCCCTATAGCAAAAAAAAAAAAAAAAAAATTAAAATTTTTTTTGTGATTTTTGCTACAGGGTGCCTGTGCTCACCAGAGACAGAAAGCTGAGAAATCACTCCCCGCTCTCCCCACGCCCGCCCCCAGGGATGATGGCTATGCTTCAATCCCTTCTCCTCCATTCTCCGCTCAGGATTTAAGGCACACATGCACATATGTCCAGCACTGGGTTTTAAGCCTCTGGATCTGGGTCTGGGACTTGAACTGGGGTTGACTATGTGGGAGTTGGGTGATGTAACCATTACGCTGGTCCCCTAAGGTACCTTTTCCTTTTCTTTCTTTCTTTCTTTTTTTTTTTTTTTTTCTATAGAGTACATGCTGTCGCCTGGAAAGAGATAGAATGGGAGAAATCACCCCTCAGGGGAGATGGTCACGCCGCAATCCCTTCTCCTCTGGTCTCCTCTCGGGATCTTGGGCACGCACGCACACGCATCTGGCGTGAGTTTTAAGCCACCGGGTCCGGGACGCGAACCGCGATCAACTACGTGGGAGTCCAGCGACATAGCCATTACGCTAACTGCTGGTCCCGATTTTACCCAATTCTTTCTATTGTAATCCTCTTAACGGATGTCACAAATTTTCCCTTTGACGTCTCCCCATCTCTTGCTCCTGCTCCCAACGCTCATCTTACTTTTGCTTTTTCATATTAAAAAAAAAAAAAAAAAATCCTAACTTTCCCAAGAACTTCCCTTAAAGTCATCCTTTGATCTACCCTAGGACCTGATCGCGGACCCCGGACAAATTCCTGCCAAACCCCTCGAGGTCCCAACTTCGTCTGCCGATTGGCTCCCTGAACGAAAGCAACGGCGCCCCTCCCTCTGATTGGCTAGCCGCGCCTCCGAAACCTACACTCCCCTTTTCCATTGGCTTCTCTTAAAGTCACCGCCCCTTTCACCCTGAAATCTCTGCGGCCGCCAGAGAGCGGCAGGGATCTTCCCCGCCGCCGTAGGAGGCTTAGTGAAAGACGCCCAGGTTCTTCACGAGTCCGTGCTGCCCTGGCTGCCGGCTGAGGTCCTGAAACGGAACGCGGACTTCAATTTCGGGGCTCTAGAAGCTCCGGTCACCTACCGCCCTGGGCGCCGCCATCTTGCCAGGGTTACGTAAGCGGAAGGGGCCGGTTTTTCTTATCCCACCCACCTGGTTCAGACCCACCTCTTAAAGGCGTACATACTGTTTACGCTGCTGACCCAAGGTTTTGCTCAAATGTTGATGGGTCTTAAAAGGGGCTATAGGGACCAGCAGATGGTTAATGGCTATGTCGCTGGACTCCTATGTATTGAACCGCGGTTGGAGTCCCGGACCCAGTTAAACTCATGCTGACCCATGTACGTGCATGCCCAAGATCCAGAGAGGAGAATGGAGGAGAAGGGACTGCAGCGTGGCCATCCCCCCTGGGGTTGATTTCTCGCTTTCTGTCTGTCTTTCTAGAGAGCACATGTACCCTGTAACAAAAACCTCTCCCCCCAAAAAAAACCACAAATGGGACTACCTAGTCTTTGCTGAGGATTCCTAGGCAGTCCTTCCCATCAGGGTACCTCTCTTTCCTCTGACTAGTCTTTCCTTGGGCTTTCTTGTTCCCTCCAGGTCTCACTGTTAACATCCTTACAGCAGGGAATGCATGTGGCAGAAAAAAACTGGTATTTTTCTCAATCTAGATCAGGCAAGAGAAAGGTCAGTTGGGTGATACTAGGCTTCAGGGTAAGAGACTTTGAGATGAGATCTTGAGACTTACATGGTGGAATTGAAGCAGTGAAGCAGGAGCACCTCCATCTTGAACTCCTCTCTGTGTTGGAAACTTGCTTTCTCCTTTTGCCTAAACAGAGTGATTAACATTCCTACTGTCTTTGTTAAATAACCCAAAACTCCCTACCTTAAGATGTTCCTTAGTGATATAATTGCTAAACCCCTTGCCCTGAGCCCTGAAGACCAGTAAGATTCTATTGTGTTAAGCAAAGGTCTAGAGATTATTAACCTGCTTGATCTGGCTTCTGTAACCACTTGGGCATAGGACTCTCCACTCCTTCCGCTGTCACCTCCTCTTCCTCAGTGATTACTGCTCTTGCCAGTCAACCCAAATGCGTTTTTTGCCTTTTTAAGCTCCCTTCTCCCTACATTAGGGGCTGTGGGATTTTTGAGAGATATGGGTCCTCCCGCATTCTCCGGCCTATTAATAAAATTCTGATAAATTTGGCTATGTCTGGATGTCCTCTTATTTCTTTTTTTTATTTTTGGAGAGGTTTTTGCTATAGGGAGAGTGCACTCACCAGAAAGACAGAGAGAGACAGAGAGACAGAAAGCGAGAAATCACCCCCCAGGGGGAATGGCCATGCCACAATCCCTTCTCCTCCATTTTCCTCTTGGGATCTTGGGCACGCACGCACACGCACCCGGTGTGAGTTCAAGCCACTGGGTCCGGGACTCGAAGCGCGGTTGACTACATGGGAGTCCAGTGACATAGTCATTGCACTAACTGCTGGTCCCGGATGTCATCTTATTTCTTGCCAATTAGACTGTAACAAAATGTTCTACCTAAGTTGGGAGTTCAGGGCTAGATCTCAGCATGAAGATTCAGTGTGAGGTCTTGTGGATAAAATGATTCATCCTTGCATTCCACAAATATTTACTAAGCACGTGGTGGTGACACTGTTCTGGCTGCTGAAGCTGCCACTTGTGCAGGGCAGACCCAGCCCCTCTCCAAGGCAGTCGATGGTTAAGAAACGAATGGCGTAGTAGTTACAGGTGGTGTAGCAGTTGCGTTGCTGGACTCCCACATGACTTATCGGGTCCAGTCCCAGACTGGTGGCTTGAAACTCACGCCAGGTGCCAGGTGTGTTTGCATGCGGGCCCAAGATCCCAGGAGGAGGATGGAGGGAAAGGGATTGCTGTGTGGCCATCCACCTAAGAGGGTCATTTCTCACTTTCCTTTTCACTGTCTGTCTCTTCATGAGTACATGTGCCTCAAGGCAAAAACTCCTTAAAAAGAAGAGAAAGAAAGAAAGAGGAAAGAATGAAAGAAAGAAAGAAAGGAAGGAAGGAAGGAAGAAAGAAACCAAGATGATTTTTGATAAGAAGATAAAGCAGGCAATCTAATAGGGAGTGAGTGGGGCATAGGGCCCTCTGCAAAGTCCTCTCTGAAAAAGTGACATTTAAGTGGAAGTGAACAATAAGAAAGGAACAATAAATGGGAGGAGGGGAATATTCCAGGCAGAATTAACAGCTGGTGCAAAGCCCCAAATCGGAACTAGATTGCAGCGAGGGATGGGAGACTCAGTCAGAGGTGGGCAGGGGGCTGGCCCTGCAGACCCAGCAGAGTTTTGTTTTGTTTATGATGGAAAGAGGGAAATCTCAGAAATGGATAGGCATCTGGTAAAGATCATTTCTGCAGGTGCAGAACGGACTTCATTCAGCTCACAGTTGGGAGGTCCAAGGTCCAGGGGCCATGCTGGTGAAAGTCTTCTGTGCCCCGCCACGGCAGAGGGCAGGTGAGCACGCATGTGTCCTGTCTGTTCTGAGCTCATTCCCACCCCACTGGGATCAGTCCAGTCGTGGGGTCCCCACCCTGACGACCTTAATCCTAATCTTTTCTCATCTGGACCCACTTTTCAACACCATAGTTGAATTACAGTTTCACCCACTTAATCTCTTCACAGCCAAATATCAACACCTGAATTGGGGAGAGGGGGGTGTTCAAACAATAGAACATTCTCTCCCTGAAAGATCACGTCCTGCAAAGCTCTGGAACCTGTGACTGTGTTTGTTACTTTATATGGTAAAAGGGACTTGGCAGATGTGACAAAGTAAGACTCTTTTTCTTTTTTTTTTTAAATAATAAACTTATTTTCTACCCAACTTCATTTCTTTCTTTCTTTTTCTTTTTTTTTTTGAGAGGTTTTTGCTATAGGGCACATGCACTAGCCAGAAAGACAGAGAGAGAGAGACAGAGAGACAGAAAGCGAGAAATCACCCCCCCCCCCCAGGGGGACGGGCCACACCCACGTCTTTTTCCC